AGGATGTTGATGAAAAGCCATATATAACAAGTACGCCAGCTTCAATACTATTTCCCTTTTTTGCCGTTGTCTATTGGACTTTGTTCACCTCTAACGAAGGGTGAACAATGTGTATGTATCTGAATGCCTCCTGTGTAGAAAGATGAAACTTGTTGCTGCTCTACAAAACATACTCCTCACTCTATCCTTTCAGCATGCAGACACAATGTAATTTTAAAGGCATTCGCTTTTTGCCTTTGTGCACTCGGGATGAACAGCTGTTTTGGTTCATTCTGGTCCTCATGTTTTCATATATGTGGTGATGTACAGATACCTTCAGCCGCTGAAACTGCTGCTGTCCTGTGGCTGAAGGCATGGGTGCAGGTGGATGAACATGACCTTGGACCACTGCAGGGCCCTGTGACGGCACTGCTAGAGCGTGTGAGTGAGGACCAACGTGTGGTGCTGTACTGTTGTGTCCATGCCCATGTCCACTTGTGCTCTGAGGCATTGCAGAAACCTTTGAGGAAGAAATTGATATTTTATATAATATAGACATTTAGACAAGATTAACCATGTCACTAGCAGTATTGTAAATATTACAGATTACATTGTTGCAAAATAAAGGAAAAGAAAATCAAATCAAAATGACACCTACTTCTTAAACACATTGTTAAATAATATAATATATATATAATATAAACACTTCTTCAGGTATCTGTGCAGATTTATCATACCTGGTAGCCCTGGGGAAGAGAGTACTGGATGCTGGTCGATGGCTGCATCTTGTCTGCAGGTGCCTCTATTACAGTAGGGGCCGGGGCAAGGGCCCGGTGCTGGAAGTTTTCTGTAATTCCTTGTATTTGAGGTCGGCGTAATAGCTGCTGCTGAGGCGCAAGTATTGGTTCCTGGTCCTCCACACGCCTCTTCATTATATACACATAGTCAAAAGGACTGGACGGGGGGTAAATAATGATGGACAATTTACAGGCTGTTAGCATTTGCCATTTTTTTTAAACACACCCACATTTTATGTATGTAT